GCTCGACAGAGAGCTGGGAGGCAGCCCCCAGCCGCGCCTGACCCCGCACCACCCCGGGGCGAAGCTTTGTGTACTACCCAACCACCCGCAGCCGAAAGGAAGCGGGTCTTTCTCCACACCAGGGGTTCCGTGCGGCCAGAGGCCCCCGCGCTTCACGGGCGGTGAAGGGGGTAGCGCGTCCTCTGCCTTCCAACCCCTCCTCGCAACAGGGAATGGATCATCACTGAGCCCAGGTATATTTGGAGCCTACTCTTCGAAATTACATTCCCCGCTCCTGGTTTTTGAGTTTTCAGGACAAAACCCACCACTTGCCATCATTGACTTCAAGCGTTGGGGTAGTCAACTAGATTAAATCAAAAAGATTTAAGCACCCGTAAAGGCACCAAGAAATCACTCCTCCTCCTCCAGACAGCGGAAAGAACTGTATTTAACAACGCGCCCGCTGTAGCTCTTCTGCAGCCTCTCTTTCACAGAGAGACCAATCGATACATTTTCAGCTGTGAGAAATATTACAAGGCTCTCTGCTCCTGTAAGTATTTACTAATAGGACTGTATTATCATCTCAAAAGTTCCAGCACTTGGGGAAATCTACGTTACATGGACTGAAGACGCAGGCATTTAGGGATAAATGTCTTACACGGAAGTACATAAGGTATTTTTTTTTTGGCAGGGTCAAGAAAACCTGGATTATTCCTTCCAAACAGGGACTTGATTCGTGCCAGACAGAACACCCAGGAACAAATCGTGCAACTCCCCACACTCATGCTAGGTTTAAACCATTTGTTTTTAGCTCAGCTATCAAAAGTCCATTCATCTACACACCAAAAGAGGATCCAGGAAGTAACGGGGAAAGGTGTCTTCTATTTCATCTTAGCTAACCTTTTAGAAGATGACTGTGGATGGCCTGCACCTGCAAACCCAAAGCACTGAGGTATTCTCTGAAGAACGACCTTTGCATTCAGTTAGTCACCCTTGTCCCAGCGTGATTCAACTGAACAGATTTATATTTTTTGTACAGAGTAAATGTTTAGAACAGATTATCTCATTTCTCTTACACAATTTCAATAATCTGTGAAGAAATTCAAACAGCTGGAATACTACGGTCATTAAAAAAAAAAAAAATCCCTAACATCGGTCCTTTCAAACTTGACCAACAAAGGCATTTTTAGAGATAGATAGCTGAATACAGTTCCAGAAGTCCAGAGAAACCGGAGCATTCAAGCAGTTTGCTCGTAATAAATCATTCTCTTCCCCATCACTCTACTTTTGCGTTAGCTTCTTAGAGTAGTTCTTGGCAAATTGCTTTCGTACTTCTTCCTGTCTCTTTCCAAGTTTAAGCGTGTTGATCAGGTTTAAGTTTTTTTTCAGTTCATGCACAGGCTTGCTTACGAAGCCGTAATATTTCCTTTTCGGAACAAATTCCAGAGCCGCCTTCCAGTCTCCAGTATCTTTCAGGGTTAATAAAATATGCATCATTTGATCCAGCGTGAGATTTTTGGCACCAGTATTCCAAAGCAAGTACTTCTCCAACGGAAGGGCCGCAGTCTCCAGCCCCAACCGCTTTGCCCGTGCTAAAGAGACTCCTGTTTTTATGCTCCTGTCAACCATTGACCCGACAATATAGATTTTATCGTGATCGAATGTTTTCATTACTTTGGGAGAATCAGCAGTCAGATAGATAAGCTTATCCTTTGGAAAGACATCTGTGTAGCACTGGTCTGTCACAGTGATAAGCAATTTGCCCCATGCCTCTCTGTAATGCTTGACAAATTCCTTGTGATAGAGGCTGTCGCCTTTGAAGTTACAGAAGTGGATGTGGAACGGATCCACAGATCTTCGATTGCAGCCTTCACTTAGTACTATCTGTCTCACTGTATTTGCAACTTCTCGGACGGACATATCCTTTTCGTAAGACATGTCAAATACTAGAGGTTGGCCAAAGATCATAGACTGAGCAGCCCTCCAACCGTATGTTCTGTCCATACAGTTGGCCCACAAACATACGAATGAATTCCTTTTGGTCTCATCAGTTTTTGAAGCTCGCTCTTCTGTTTCCAGCCTCCTTTCCCTTTTCTCATCCATCTTTCTTTTGTCGTTTTTCTTGTGAAGTTCTTTGAGATGCAAATATTTTAAATACTTCTTTTTGGCTGACTTGGAAGGACATTCCAAAAAGGTTTTTAGCTGTTCTTCACTGATATTTTCTGGAACCGATCTGCCAGCTAGTCTCCACATCTCCAAAACCTCACGTGCAGCAGCCAAAGTGGAAAGCTCCTTACGCTCAGAGACTGTCTCACTGACTTCATCTTGCAACCCAGACCTCATTACCTTCTTCCACGCATCTAAATCTAGTTTTTCTGAGGGATTGCATGAATTGTCCTGCTTCAGACAAAACGATAAACTCAGAGTTCTACTGAGTGGAAACAAATCCTTTTTCATCCCATGTTGTGCAGCAAATGGAAGGACAGAACTTCTTACAATTTTTTTCAGAAGCACATTAGCAGACTGCATACTTAGACAGGTGCTGTGTTCAAACACTTATCTGCAAAACACCAATAAGAGGGGAAAAAAACTTGTCAGAAATCATGAAGAAAATGCACACAGATTTTCATCCCAAGTAACACTGACAGACAATAACTTACTTCTTGGAGAATACTAGAAATTCCTGCTCCCACTATTACTTTTCTACTGTTTTCTAAATAAAAACAGCATGCGTGGCACTGCTGTGAAGAGACACGGTTAGCTCTGCTGCTTAAAACAGCGATACTTACTGCGATTCAAAATGTGTTCAAACAACCTTTAGGTATTGTCTGAGATCTATTTAAATTATCTGTCTCATATGACAAATAAGAACCTTCGCAAGCAAAATGCTGCACAGAGACCGAAAATATTTTTATACACGTCCAGAGGTGCCTACCTGATTTACCTATACTGTGAAGATGGACAAGATGCTTCATCTTGTAACATTTTCTGGAAAAACTCTGTATCACAGAAGATCACATTTTTGCTTTTACCATTATATTTTGGGACAGCTCTCCTGGCAAACTTTAGTACTAAAGCTTTTCCTCTTCTACGCATTTCCACGTTGCGGGTCACTGGAACTACTGAAACTACCAGCGCTAGAGTTTTGCTAAGCCAATACCACTGCCAACGAAGGCACTCTTATGTCCCGTCAGCCCCTCGTTCCTGGCTCTGTCAGCAGCGCAAGCATTCACGTGGCCGCACTATGAGCCAAATCAGAGAACTGATCTTAGGGACAGCTAACCAAGAGGTGGAGAAAGGGAAACAAAGCTCGTTATCATCCCACCCAAATGAGTTTCCACACCTGATTCACCGGACACCTCCTAGAAAGAAGAGGAGATGGAAGAATAAACAACTAGTATAGGAAAAGACCATCTTTTTCCTTTTTGCTAAGTTGCCTGTGAAGTTGATGTAGGCACATAAAGCTAAGGACGTGAAACCCACAGTCCCATTAATTTCATACACATTTGTATTTAAAAGGTCTGCAAAAAGACCAAAGAACGTTCAATATTTTCCTTGTCCTATGCAAACCTACTTAAGTAACATCAGTGAAGTTTCAGTGTTTGAGAAAACATGATTTGGCCAAAACGTAAAAGTTAGCTCCAAATTTTAAAAGCAAAATTCATAATCTCCCTAATAACTTACCACCTGAAAATAATTTGATATACAGAAGAACAAGTTAAATCTAATTTTGGCGTTATATATATACCTGCCCAGACGAAGACCCACAGAAAGAGCAGCATATTATTAGGAAACATTATATAAACTGGCACGCATTTTACGATACTATAACTGGTCAAATTGGTGACTGACTTTTCATTTTCTACTGTTACAAAATTAACAAAAACTCCTAATAGCGTGAAGTTAAGAGAAAATTCGTAAGTGTTACAATAGAGATGTTCATAGTTTTACATTTAAGTGTTAAAGATACTTGCAAAAGCAATAATCAAAAAAGTATGTTGTCCAGCTTGGAGAAATTAAGGGATCAGTTCCTCAGTTAACTTACGTTACTGGAGCTCCAATTAAGTCAACAGTTGAAAGGCAGATTTACACAATCTGAATGGTTGATGACAGCTTTTGATAAAAGCCAAGTTACCTTTCAGTGTGTCCAGCATGCACACTACCACATCATTACTGCAAGAATTACTCTAAACCTCTTTGAAGAACCTACATTTGTAGGACTGAAAATATTTTTCTGATGCTTTTTTTTTTTTTAGTATGACTTCACTGTAACTAACCCCGGGAACAGAAAGGCCCTTCGCTGATATTTCGGAGGCTGAATAATTCGGTTACTACCCCCGGCACAGATGCCCACACAGGGCTGTCCGCAGGCCTGACCCCTATACAGCGATGCGGGCCGAAAGGCCATGTGGCGAGCGCGCCAGACCCGGGTAAGCAGCGATGCGGCCCGTTCCACAGCGGCACTACCGGCCCCTCAACGCCTTTTAAACCAGCCCACAATTGAACCGAACGGCGACAAGCTAGGTAACGCCTCAAAGCACCGCGCTGCGCCCCACTGCCCTCCCGGCGATACCGGCGCGCCTCGCTCCCCCCTGCTGCGGCAGGGACCGGCGGGGGAGCGCGGCCTCCGGGTCACCGCGCCGCAGGCCCGACCCGCACCCGTCGAGGAAAGCGGGGCTGGGCGGGACGGCAGGGAGGCGAAAGGGCGCTCCCAAGGTCACTGGGAGCCACCGGCGGGACGAGGAGGGGAGCATGAGGGGCACCTCAGGCGCCCCGGGCGAGTCTCTCGCCGGTAACCCCCGGGG